ACCCCATAGAAAACCTATGGGGTATTATAAAGAGAGCAGTTGCAGCGCGAAAACCTACAAACAAGGCTTCTTTATGGGAGATTATTAAGGACGAGTGGAGTAAAATCACTCCGCAGCAATGTGAGTCTTTAGTCCGCTCCATGCATAGGAGATGCGATGAAGTGATTCGTCAAAAAGGATTCCCAACGAAGTACTGACTGGCATTTATTGAAAAGACGATAACTTGGCTTTAATATGCATTACTTTGGCGGTGACTTAATTATATGAGCACGAATCATATGGTCAAATATAATATTAAAATTAACTAAAATTAATTCAATACTTTTAAACATTAAAAATGTAAACAAACTTTGAACATGAAATCCGCAGTTTTGATTCTATATGTTTTTTTGTTCATTTTCAATAATAAAACCACTTTTTTTAGATATATATTTTTTGCTGTATGGTGTAACTTAATTATATGAGCACAAGTGTATGATGATTAAAAAAAATTTATTATAGGTAAATTGAAAACCCCGTCCATAAATTAAAGAATTAAAGTATGCATTTTCAAAAACCTTTGCTGGGAACGCATAACCTTCCATTTGATACCCATGTCGTGGTATTTTTTTAGAAAGGCGGCAACCCCGTAAAAAAAATGTTTTTAAGTATGTTCAAACGCTTTCAGTTTTAAAGAAGAGACTTAATTATTTTATTGAGCCTTTAAATAATTTAAAATTTTCAAATATCTGGCAACCCTATTTTTCAAAATTGTTTACCACAAACCCACAAAAAAGAACTACCCACATCCATTGTGCTGTTCGTGCGCGTTGTGATTATGAAAACATAAAATAACAAATTTTTGTATATAACAGATAGGATTATCAGTTATTAAAACACAAAACGAAACTTCTTACTTCAAATTTGGTTAAAGAATGCCCTACCTCAGCTGGCGATATATTGAATCTACAAAAAGATTTGATATTAATTTTGATTCTGTTTATGCAGTATTCAACAACAATAAAAAAAAAATCGTATTTTCAACGCTGTTCAGCTCATTTTTGGTTGGAGTAATAAATTTGACCATATGTAATTTAAAATTAGATTGGATAATAAGAATAGCTGCGTATACAATTGTATGTGTGTGTTTATTTGCCAAACAAATATTTACTTCTCGATTAAGGCATGTCTTATTACTTAGTTCAAATATCTTCGCAAATTGTAGCAAAGTTTGTTTTTCCCACCTTCATACAAATTCTTCAGACTATGAGAAATTTTGTTCACTACAGAGGCATACCTCCTTACATACCTGCATACGTAGTATGTGTATATGTACGTACATACGTAATTCTGTGCGTATGAGTGTTTGTTTCTATGTAGGTCCAGCCAACTATAACCCGTTCATCATCAGTTAACCACATTCGTTTGTGTGGGTTTTCGCTGGTCACTGGCGCTTTTGGCAGCTTTACTGGTTTCTTAATTGTCGCCGCTTGCGAGATTTGAAGGTCAAAGTCAACAGGTGGAACTGTTGGCCATAAATTCGCGCTTACAAACAACACACAACACATACATCCATAATTTTGTTTTGCTGTTTGGCCTACTGCCCCACCGCTAAATAGAATATATCCATTTAATTTTTACTCTATTTATAACTTATTTACTCAGTTTGTCGTAGTTTTTTTTTTGTATGGTTTTAACTTTAGCGACGCCTGATGTCCACCGACTTATGTACTTCCTGATGATCAGATCAGATATTTGCTGAACATAAAAAAAAAAATCAAAACCAAATTTGTTGCAAAAAAGTTAAAAATTTCATATAATTTTATGCTTTCAACTATATATTTCTAAGCGAGGCTGTATGTGTACGTACTTATACACTGAGGGAATAATGTCGGCCTAAAAATAAGAACAACCTAACTCCATTTAATTATATAGAATCTAAATATTTCATTATTGAAATGAGAATTTCGTACTCAAATCAAATATGATGCTTTTTTATTATGAGTACGAGTATTTTATTTTAAGAAACATTGTAAAGAAAAAGGTTGGGTTAGTTATCACAACCTTTCATACTTCGACTTAGAATCTTAGATGTCTGTTCATGAACAATATTTTCACAAAAAGACGCGCGAACAAATGATTGATTGTATACCTAACTTAATTTTTTAAGTTTGCATTATCTTAGTTCCAGTATTTGGTACTCTCTATTTTAGCATTTTCAATCTTAGTCCGATTTTAAGTACGGAAATGCTAAGATCGAGTACGAAACACTTGTTTCCTTTTCTGAGTGTAAGGTGGTTTAGTACAGCAAATATTGCTTCGGCTTTCGCTGGAAAGTAAATATTTAAAAAGTTCGGCACATAATATCAAAAATTTAAAGTTTTGAGTTAGTATATTTTTGGAGAAATTACGTGACATTTAAGAATGGCACCATTCATTAGCAGCACTAGACGCCATTTACTACATATTTACATCGTTGTAGTGGCTATTTTAACCGACTTTAAAAGGGAGGAGTTTATCAATTAGTCGTGCATAAGTATTTGTTATGTTTATATCGTGTGTTCGTGCATAACTTCAATTATATATATATTTTTTTGTTTTGCTGTTTTTTGTTGTTGTTTTGCCCTGTCTTTAAGCTTCTTTATTTTTTTTTTCATTTATATTTTCTACGTACAGTCTTACACCACAATGTGTTCGCTTGTTTCGGTACGTTTTGGTTACTTTTCAGCTATTTTATTTCTTGAATGTCGAAAAAGGCGGCAAGTGTTTCGAAAATGGCCAGCGGTAAAGAAATACACAAGACTACATTATTATAAGCACCTATTTGATGATCTCGGCTTGATTCCGACGTTTTTTGCGACCGACAATGACGGTATCAGCCAGCATTGAAAGCGAAACTTCACTCACTAGAATGATGACGGAATCGTTAACAGATTTATCTTATTTCATTTGTTTGCAATTTGAGCGCGCTCTTGATTCTCATTAGTGTTTAGTGAAATATTTAGTTAAGTCGTTTCATAAATTTTGTTAACATTGGCGAGAGCCAGCCAGCCAGCACATGCCACTGACGTTCGCTGGTGCGCGTTACATTCAAAATAAATCTGTGCGAGTGACAGTTGGAGGAGCGGAGCGTATGTATGCATGAATAAATGTATATTCAATGCCAAGGTTAAACGCTATTTAATTAAAATTTTTATTTAATTTTTGTCTCTTTTTGACAGCGTGCTTCTTAGAGCGCGGTTACCCACGAACGTGTACGTAGCGTAGCGTAGAAGTACGTAGAAAGATATCAAGTATGCTGTTGATAGAAAGAGAGAGAAGCAACGTCTACGCCACGGTCATGCGGTGGTGAGTTTTTGTTAACACGCAGATGCCATAAGATAGATCGTGTCAGCTGACACGTTCTCCGTTTTTACGTTCGTGGGTAACTGCGCTTTTAGCTAAGTACTCTTTATTGCCTTGTTTGTTTAACTTTTTCTTTTTCTTTTCCGTTTTCGTTCTCACCATGAACTGATAACTAAATTTGTTTGGAAATTACTCAACACCTCAGCGGGTAGCGCGCTTCTCACACGCTTAATTGCTTTTTTTTTTGTTTTTTTTCGTGTTTTAATTCCAACCATAGCTCTTTACGCTTACTTTTATCTGACGTTCTGTTGTGTCATGCTCTTTTGAACACATTATTCAATGAGTTAGTGTTTTTTCGTTCATCAGAATATTTAAGCTTTTAATTTCTTTTAGTTGATTTTCCTGTTTACCAAAATTGTTGCACATTTTTTTTTTATTGTTTACATTGTGCTGGCACTGTATGTCTGTTTGTGCATACGTGTGAATACATTAGGTTGTCCCAGAACATAATGAGAGAATTCGTATGATCCATATAAATGGAGGGCATAGCAGTTGATTACGTTCCACTACTATGCACCTTCTTAGCTTTATATGTTCTTTGGAGTACCTCTTAAATTTTACTTTTAGTTAAGAAGTTATGCGAAAAAACGTCAAACATGAGCATTAGGCGAGGCTTAATGGTAGTAATAATTTGTTTTTAGTTTTTAAAAATATTGAAGTACTTAAACTTCGGAGGAAATTTCTAATTTTTAAGCTGTTTTAAAGCTGTTCAGTTTCCGCGAGTTCCGTTAAATTGACTAAAGCTTCACTGCTGTGAGGAATTAATCTGCGGGCTCCCCATTGTATTGATGTTAGCCAGAAGCATTGCATATCGAATTAAAAAATATATAAAAATCTAGGGCACCCTAATGAACATATTGTTTATACATATGTTTTCGCGATGATGGTCTGGGCGTTTTCTACAGTGAGTTTGTTGTTCTTCTTCCATTTTAAATTCATACATCCGTATAAATTTTGCTTTTATAATTTTGATTTACGGCTGGAATCGAGGCAACTTCCTCGCGCGTTATCTGAGGAAGTGGTTTAGTTGTTTTTATTGGTATTCCATATGTAAATATATATATGGATATTTATAGATTTGCCATTCATACAGTTATCATTCACATCTCGTTGGGCGAATTCAAAAGCAAAGGGGAGTTGTAGAAGAATTCCTTAACTTCAAATCGACCAGATCGACGATGAAATTTACTATAAGCACGAATGTTAAACAAAAAACAACAAAACAAATTACAATTGGCTATATTATGATCGCATTTTTTTATATATTTTTTATGTTTTTATAAGAGTGGCAATTAAACACGTGGAGCCTGCCGTTGCTGGTCAGCTGGCTTTTTTTTCGGCGCGCTGCCAGTTTATTTCAATCGGGCTACACTAAATTTAGATTTGGTTATTAAAGAATTCTTTTTGAACTTATTCATTTTGTTTTTATGGTTTTGTTTACTTTTATTGCTGTGCTTCAAGTGGGTATTAAGTAATTCAAGTTCACGTAGTATGTGTATATCTACATACATATTTATGTATATTTTTTGTTTATTTGTTTCTTCCCTCAACTCGATATCTTACGATTTTCGTACATTTATTAAAACTCATTGCGCATTTGCCTTTTATCTTTGCAGCTTAACATCGGGCTGTAATGGCATCTTTTCACGTCGTTTGGATTTTTCGTCGTTCAATTTGTTGCCGAAGACACGCTTAAATTCCTATCAAGTCAAGGTAAGTTAGAAGATAAATGTTGATTCTATTCATGAGCCGGATGAGAATTATAGAAATTATGGAACTGAAGAAAAAATCCAGTAGTTGGAAGGCTCAGAGGCTAGAGAAATATTGCTCATAATCTAAGTATTTTTAAACCTGGATGATTGTATGTTATAGAACTCCGCTTGCCTTTTGTGGCCTTAAAGAATTTACTGACAAAGGCATGTAAGTTTTGAGCACTCAGCAATCGCTTACTTATGTACTTGCATACTTATGTACACTCATATGAATGTATGTTATGTACATATGTATGCATATAGACTCATGTAAACAAAAGATCGCAAAATATCTACTGAAATCTGTCACAAATGACACCGACACCCGCGAACAAAACAAAGAACAGTTGGAGTTCCAAGAAAATCTGTGTGTACTCGTATTATGTATATATTTACATGTGTACATGTATCTCTGTGCATCTACGTTTAATTGTTGTTTGATATGTAGTATGGTGTGGATTGTTTTTAAATATTTGTGCTCCATTAAATTGGAGCATTCAGCATCATTAATATCCAATAGCGATTCCTTTGAAGTCGTTGTTTGTTCATTCATACATTTTGGCATCTTAGAAGATTTCCTGGAATTGATGCTTCTCTCCGTTTTTTTTTGTTTGCTTCTCCTTGTGAATGGTGTTAGTTAACTCCAGATAAGATGACAGAAAGTGTAGTGGCAATATTTTCATAGTAAAATTCAAGGGTGGTCCAAAAAATACACAGGAAAATCAACTTTTTGGAATTTTCTTGCTGCCACCCTACTATGGTTCCAAATCAATTTTTTTTAATAAGAAGTTGCAAAAAGCATATATATTTTCTTGATGGCAATACCTTAGGCAATCGAGAGAATAGAATGAAAAAAACTAGGTGGCAACACTACCGATTCGTCAAGCCTTCAAAGTAGGATGTTTAAACACGTTTAAATAAAAGAGTGTTCAAATTAGCTTAACAGCAAAGGGTGCAAACGAAATTACAACTAGGATATATAATGGAATTTGAACCCCAATGTAAGTGGTTTAAAAACATTATCTCTAATTTTATATTTATTGTGTCCTTGTCCTTATTTTTGAGTATTGTGTTAATGCGGATTTTATTTAACATAACATATATGTTTTGTAGTCAAAATGTTGTGGAAGTGTTCATTAAAGTGTGTTATTATATGTAGAAATTCGGAGCTCGCTAGCATTTTTCAGCAAACTCCCACAATTGCCTTTTAGTTTAGCACAATTTTAGCCGATTAGCCGTGCCGAAATGCTTTAGTTTTGGGTAAACAAACAGAACTCGAAATTGACTTTAGAGCTATGCTGTGACGAGGTTTTCTCTTAGAATTTCATGTATGTAGAATCCGAATCTGCTAAGAACGATGTCGAAAAAAAAATCGTTTCATACAAGTTGACCCGGCCTAGTTTACCTAAATGTACACTTACGTAAATGCATTTATGAACATATATAAATATGAACATACATATCTACACCTATGCTAAATGGATGCTTAAAAACAAATAAACCTAGTATTTATATATCATTTAGTTAATTTTTATCCAAAATCTTAATGTTATATGGACGGTCAAGATGGGCGTGGCCCGATTGGTCCAAAATTTGGTCTTGTTCTTACTTATGCCATGACTATTGACTCCGCGAATTTTCAACTTCGTAGTTGCATTAGTTCAATTTATGACAAAAAATAAATAAAAATGATTTGGGACCACAGTGCGCACCCAGAAATACAGAAAATGGAAAATAAATTTGACATTTAACCGTGCCGCCGAGCTTTAAGGTTTTCAATGTATATACATATTTCATGTGGGGAAAATACATCTGTTCGTAGAATAGCTATAAAATCGTTAAAAGTAAAAATATTTTGTTCAAATAAAAATATTTTCCTTCAGAAATTTTCCAATAATATGTAGAATTTGGATGCGAATTTAGCTCTAAAAGGGGCGAGATCTGGTAACGAACTGATGAAAATTTTTTGTGTATACGAGATGAGAATATTTATGTTTATCGATTTTATAGCGATTCTACAAAAAAGAAAGTTTTCCTAAATGAAATATTTAAAATATGGAGTTTTTTTTTGGACCGCCCTAATGTACATAGTACATACGTACAAGTTGAGCTTTTTGAAGCTTTGTTTATTTGTTTCGGCGGCTATTTGATGCTTAAGGTTATTATTTTACAAAAACTGTGTACTGCATATCGGTATCGACTTTAGAGTGAAAAGTTGCTAAGCCCATTTTTTATGAAATCTTTAAATAAAGATCGAATCCTTCTGATTCATATGCAGTTTGTCTTTACTGTAAATGGAGTTTTTGTTTACTTTAAACACCAAAAAAAAATTTGAATTCACAAAATTTTCATCAAAATTTCGTCCTTCTAATTTGAATTTTTAGAAAATTTTTGGGTATACAAGTTTTAAACGGCTAAAAAATCGCGTGATTTTTGAGAATTTTTTTTAGGCTTCTTTTCGGGTTTTTAATATAACAAGCGCAATTTACAAAAACTTGCGTTGATATTTTGAAATTTTGTTGCTGACGGTCTCCCGTGTTTTATTTCATAAGAAATTCATACTTATATGAAAGTGCAAAAATCCGTCACCGAAAAAATTCGAGATTTTTTTTTTTTAAATTTCTTCTGCAGAAATGCTTCTAGATGCTCTAGGAATATTTCTGCATCAAAAATAAAATGTTGAAAATAGTCGCTTACGTTATTTTAGCGGTTGGGACTCGATATGAGCGATAGATCTAGTCAAATTTATAAAACACTTTCCACGTATAACGCTCTTAAATTGTTCTATATTCCCTTTTATTATGCCGTCACTAAAGCTATTCAATCAAGAAACATTTTTAATACCTTTGAATATTTTATGAGCGTTTTCCTTTTGTCTTTCCCACTCTTTTGTGTCTGTTCGAATTGCACACAAAATCAAATTACATTTCAAGTGCCGCCCGCCGCAGCTAACAGTGAGGACAGGAAAACTTTGCGTGGCATGTCCATGACAATGGCATTGAACGAAAACTTAGTTACCTGACGCTACTTGCTTTTCTGTTTTATTTGGCTTTGTTTTTGCCTGTCTCGTTAGTTATGGATGCTAAGCCGTCGGGGGCCACCCACTTGGAAACAACATGAAACAACAGTTATGACATGTGTGATATCCTTTGAACGCAGGTAGGTGAGGGTAGCACCACCACTGCAAATGTAGAATTATCCCAGCCGAGCAGGCGCAGCTGAACTATCTAGTAAGAAAGACATCTACATATGTAGATCGTGGCGCAGTTTTGAGACCACCAATACTTCAATTCAATTCCAAATTTCAATAAAAGAAATTTATGTAGGAAACTAACATGTTCGTCTTATTTCCTTGGTTAGGTCCTCTTCTCTCTACTGCTGGGTTGTTATTTCCGTTCCAAGGTAAGCTTAGCATCCGAAACAAAACATTTCAATTCAACTAAAAGCGTTCGAATGCTGCTACTACAACAGTTTGCATGCCAAAATGCATGATTTTAAATCACACCACCGCTGGCTCAGGGGCCGCATCATTTCTTTCCTTACCTTCCTAATTCTTAAGCAGATTTTTGTGCAAACTTCTCCTCTTTGCTGGTAAGTAGGAGCTGCCGACTGCCGACTGCCGACTGCCATTGTTGCAGCAGCAAAATAGTTGAAAATAGTTTTCCTTGTTGGTGGCTGGTTGCTGGCAACATTTGCAAACTGTATTGAATTTATAAATATTTAATTCGTTTCCAAGTACAGACACACAATTTCCATTCACAAACGAAATGAGAAAAAAACCAAAAACAGCAACACTTCAATAGAATAGAATGTGCTGCTGCTGCTGCCGCTGCCGCAAACAAGAATTATAGAAATGATTTGAAAGCAGTGATGCAGTGCAGCTGTACGAATGATTTCAGCAACAGCGGAGTGGCTGGCTGAGCGCCAAACAGATCAGCCGTGCCAGCGCTTTCTGGGTGCCTGTGGGAACGGCAGGCAGCTCGCAGCTCCAGACCGTTAAAGCTGATGCCATAAGCTGGCCAGCCGAACTTAGAGGGTCGTGGCTGTCTGCTTATCTATTGCAATAAGCCCTACCTCTCGCTCTCGACCGCCTGGCTGGGGGTGCGCCGCTTTGATGCAGTTCTTTCTATTTGCCAGTCGAGTGTTCTTTGGAGCATTTTATATACATACTAACATACGTACGCCTTTCACTTTTTTCGTTTCGTTTTGTTGTATCGATTTTTTTTTTGCCTTTAAACTTTTTCGCTTCCCATAACTAAATTGGGGGCTGGTGGCTGGCATTATCCTGCCACAGCGCGAATCCGAATACGTACATACATGTGTACATTTCGTGCTTATTAAACTTTTTCTTCCGTTGAAAAATGTTTGCTATTCGATTGTGCAGCTGGTAGCGCATTAGGATATTACAGCTTTGTTGCAACGGATATTCCTCCTTTATCCGCATCCGCTTTGCATGCGAAATCCTATGCAATTACGATAAAAATATGCACAAAAGTTATTTGCTTATTGAAATTCCTCAGAGGGAGTAACTTTGATTAGTTTTATGCATTCGAGAATTAAAGTTTGTTTAATAACAGATTATGCGAATGGAAGGAAGCTGCCGCATTTCTTTTCCGTCGTGCGCTTTGCTTTTTCTTTAAACTTTAAAATATCCTAATAAGCACCATATGGCAATTTCATCAGGCTCCGGGTTGTTTGCTCCCCTCCTCAATCGTCTAATTAGCATTTTCGTGAACACCTTCTGCTTTCCACAAAACCCAATTTGTAGCGACAAGTCAGCTTCATGTGCTCATCATTAATCCCTTTAGAACTCGTTTAGCGTTGAATTTTTTCCGCTTTTAATTCGCTCTAATCAAATTTTGAAAGTCGTTAAAGGGTTGAACTTGAACTTAGCTGTTGATTTTTTTATTGCTTCTGCATTTTATATGGCGCATATCCTTTGGTAACATCATCTGTCAACAT